ATATGTACACAAAGTAACAATATTTACTTTAGATAAATTTAACGATATATATAATTATTAGTTTTATTATAATATTTTCATCAATAAAGTCAACAGATGGAATAAAAAAGATTATAATCCCCATTTTTATGAAAACCGAATAAAAACAAAATAACTATTTAAATATAATCTACTTCAAAAATACTTTTTACTTATAATAAATACATACATACATACATACATACATACATACATACATACATACATACATACATACATACATACATACATACATACAGTGACGGTACTAGAAATTTTACTCAGGGCGACTCGATTTTAAATGTTATAACGAGCTTGTAGTTTAAGTCCAAACATTCATTTCATGTAAAATGTATTTACTATAAATATAAATACCGATATGTGTACTATCAAGTTTTAAAAACTTAAAATTCGTATCACCCTCAAACTTTTACAAAAATTATAAACCAAGAAAAAAATATGAGATTTTGTGTATTTATAATTTAAGTTCAACATCTATAGTTTATAGAAAAATATTTTTTTTTTATTGAAAATTGATTTAAATTGAACTTTTGTAGCATATTGCATATCATTTTTGTTGATCACACTTATCAAATGAACATTGTTTTAGAGAAGAAAATAACTTAATTTAAAAATTTGTGATTACACATAAATAAAAAATAAAAATAAAAATAAAAAACCAACGTTCAAAAATTTAACAATCCAACTACATATTGGGTTCTATAAATTACTAAAAGATTTACAATTCACAAATCGAAAATTATTATAAATATTTTCAAAAACTTATCTACAAATATAAAATATAAAAATTGTTTGTACATTTTTTAATAATTAAATAATATTAATAATTGAAATTATTAACATAAAAAATAAATTTAATTATTAATATATTGTAAATATTTTTTTTGACATTTTCATACATATTTTATAATATATATATATATATATACATATTTAAAGAAAAAATGAGGGGGGTCCATGGACCCCTGGACCCAGTACAGGTCCGTCATTGAATACATATTTGGTGCCCCTATAAATTGTGGGCCATTGGCGGTCATCATGCCCCTGGGCCGGCACTATTAGTATATACAATTTGTGTTGTTTTTAAAGTATGACATATAAATGTATATATATTGAAAAAAGATGACTACCGAGATTAAAATTCTATTTCAAAACCTATATTGAAAAAAACTAACCACAAAGAAAAATTCTATTCCAAAATCAATTGGTAATAGAAATCATGATTGTTAATTTATCATATTTAATCAACTTTCGACAACTCGTATAAACAAGTGATATATTCCAACAGGCTGTCTCGTTTTTTCTTTTGATCCTTCTTTAACCGTTTCAAAAGCACGCTCGGTTAGTAAAGTCGTCACAGGTGCTAAATCATCAGCTCTGTTTTATTGGATAAACGGCCACTCAACTCTTCGCAATATACGAATTAATGTGTCTCATCAAGCTAGCCTAGCTAGCCAGCCCAACGTTTTCCATGTTTTAAGCTAACTAAGCACCTGAGCTAATTAACCTTGTCCCAAACACGTGTGCCTTCACCTGATTTTTCCAACTTGAGAAAAAAAATAAAAAAAAAATGAGAAGAATGTGAGTGGTGATGTAAGGGATATGATAGTCATGTGAATTGAGTCTTCTTATCACAGTACACAACATATATTTCGTTTTGGTATCGCTTGCTCACGTTACCAAATTGCAGTACTCATGATGATCCGATTAATCTTTACTGATACAATACTCGTGTAACACACGACTGTCGAATTAAACAGAGTTTCGATTGCATGACTTAATTGATATTGAACATTATTTTTACTTTATTAAGTCTTTGAATAACTATCATTGACCAGTGATCACTACATACCTACAAATTAACCCCAACACTCAAAAGTTTCTCGCCTGTCACATATGGTATATTTATACACACACCATATTTAATTTTTGGTCTCGTTTTACCAATTAGCCGTTATAACTAGTACAATACTCGTGTAACACATCAATGCAATATTTTATGAAGAAAATAACTGAATAATAAAATAAAAAATACAATTTTGAAACGATATGACACCAACTCGACGACGGAAGACCTTATTAGAGTCTTGAAGAGTACCATACATACTAATTATATGACTTTATTATTATATATGAAGAACAAGACAAAGATAGTTTCACCATATATACATATACATCTTTCTTGATCTGATATTGCCAGTGAAGGGCAAAACCGTCATTTCGCGCCCTCTCGATTACGTCATGGCCTCCTGTGAAACTTGTGGTGCTCATGCAGGAAACAAACAAAAAAGATCATTGAGATCTCTCTTTAAAAAGCCACCATATTTACACAACCCCTTAATAATTTAATTAGAATTTGCTAATAATTCGTGTGATTTTTCGTTCGCGTGTTTTAGAGGCCACACGAAAGAAGAAAATGGGCTCGAGAGAGCGCAAAAAGGCAGCCCTCGACAAGAAGCTCGAAAAGCTTAGGATCGTCACGAATTCTACCGCTGTATATATATGAATTTCACTCATTTTACTCTTTTTTTTTTTTTGTTTCCTTTATGTACAT